CTGACCCATCGCAAACTCATGAACAATGTTCCTCCAGGCCTTCCTGTCCTCTACCATCCTCTGGAGTCCATTTAAGCTCACACCAACTGCTTCGGTGTCTCCATCCATCCATCTCCTTCTCTGCCGTCCCCTTCTTCTTCTTTTGCCCTCAATCTTTCCCAGCATTAGGCTCTTCTCCAGTGAGTCCTTCCTTCTCATTAGGCGGCCAAAGTATTTGAGTTTCATCTTCAGGATCTGGCCTTCTAAAGAGAAATCAAGGTTGACCTCCTCTAGGTCTGACCAGTTTGATCACCTTGCAGTCCAAGGGACTCGCAGGAGGCTTCTCCAACACCAGAATTCCAAGACCTTCATTCTTTGGCGTTCTTATGGTCCAACTTTCACAGCCATCCAGCCACCTCATTCTTCTTTTGCCCTCAATCTTTCCCAGCATGAGGCTCTTCTCCAGGGAGTCCTTCCTTCTCATTAGGTGGCCAAAGTATTTGAGTTTCCTCTTGAGGATCTGGCCTTCTAAAGAGAAATCAAGGTTGACCTCCTCTAGGTCTGACCAGTTTGATCACCTTGCAGTCCAAGGGACTCGCAGGAGTCTTCTCCAACACCAGAGTTCAAAGACCTTCATTCTTTGGCGTTCTTATGGTCCAACTTTCACAGCCATCCAGCCACCTCATTCTTCTTTTGCCCTCAATCTTTCCCAGCATGAGGCTCTTCTCCAGGGAGTCCTTCCTTCTCATTAGGTGGCCAAAGTATTTGAGTTTCCTCTTGAGGATCTGGCCTTCTAAAGAGCAGTCAGGGTTGATCTCATCTAGGACTGACTTGCTTGATCACCTTGCAGCCCAAGGAGTCTTCTCCATCACCAGAGTTCAAAGGCCTCCATTCTTTGGCGCTCAGCCTTCCTTATGGTCCAAGTTTCACAGCCATACATTGCAACTGGGAAAACCATAGCCTTGACTATATGCATATACCCCTTCATGGTTCACTGCCTTGTCATAGCGAAGGGGCTTATGTATGAAGCTATGAGCTATGCCATGCAGGGCCACCCAAGGCGGACAGGTCATAGCAGAGAGCTCTGACAAAACATGACCACTGGAGAAGGAAATGGCAACCCATTCCAGTATTTTTGCCATGAAAACCCCATGTACAGTACCAAAAGGCAAAGAGATATCCCAACATTATACCTAATAGATGTCTAATGCTCTGATATTAGTAGTGACATCTTCCATTAAATTAAACCTGGCATATTTTCTTATTGTGGTATAACCTTTGTTGGTAGCCACAATTATAAAGCAAGCCCAAGTATCCATAGAAGAGAAATGAACAAATAAGCAGCTCAGAAGTTTTATCTTTCACTTGTAAATTTGACAGCCCTGTATGTTTATTTAAAGTAAACATGTTTGGGAAAGCTGCTATATATATGGATATTAGGGATCTTAAAATAGTTTTGTGCTAAAACGTGAACATCTGTTTAAATATTTTTTTGGCATTGTATGTACAGAATACTTTGCATTTCTTAGTACATGTGTAAACACACACCATGATTTCCAGCAGGGTATGTACTAAAAATTACCCTGTGAGTTGAAACTTAATAATATTCTGAATGCAAAATGTTGAATTACACCAGAGATCTAGGGCTTCAAATTCTTCTGCTAGATTAGTGGGGAAATTTACTACTGAGAATCTCCTTTCTCCTGAATAGGTTATCCCCCCTCCTCAACTTAAACAAATGAACCAAATCTCAAGTTAATGGATTTCAAATGGTGGTATCCAGAGGGGTTTTTAGGAAGTATATTGAGAAAGTCTTTGGACTTTCAAAGCAGCTCCTAACCATATGGAATAGATTCATTATTACTTATTATTTGTAATGGCAGGGCACTCAAGAGCGGCTTTTAAGATGGAAAAGTACGTTAGATTCTTCTTGGTGGGCAAGAATTGAAAAATTTTTGAAGTTCCAAAGACTGAGTATGTCAGGAAATGGATTCTTCTTTTTGTGCCATATCTGTCATTGGATTGTTGTTGGCAGTCATGTTGGCGATCCTATTTTTATCAATAGCCTCATGAGTTTTGTCCAAACCAGTCTCTCAGGTTTTGAAGCCATGCTGTTCTTCTTCTGCCTTCCCTCTTTCCTTGGAGCATTTTAAGTGAAGTATGCCCTACTTTTCTGGGTGTGGCATCGTCACATGTCCAAAATATTCTAACTTTCATTTTTTTTTTACGGTTTTGATGATCTCCCTTGGCTTTCCCAGACGGCTTATCACTACCTCCTTTTTGATTTTGTCCGGCGAACTTATATGTACCAGCCCCCTGTCAATCCACATTTCAAATGCTTCAAGTGACTTTCTGTCAGAGACCAACTCTCCACTCTATGGAGATAGAAAAGATGTACCCTGTTTCCCCCAAAATAAGAATTCCCTGGATAATAAGCCCAATCGGGCTTTTGAGCGCATGTGCTAAAATAATCCCTCCCCCCCAAAATAAGCCTTCCCCCAAAAATATTGCAACACAGCAGCAGCCATGAGGTGACCATGCTCGCTGCCTCCTGCACCTCAAAAATAATAAGACCTCCCCAAAAATAAGGCCAGGTGCTTATTTTGGGGGGTGAAAATAAAATAAAACCCTGTCTTATTTTTGGGGAAAACACGGTAGG